CCCTTCTCCTTCCCTCTCGTTAGTATCCAGGCACACCTTGGCTGTGCCCCTTTGCAACCTGACACAGTGTGTCAACCCTCTGCACAGGGCAAGCAGCTGCCAGACTGTATGCATGTGCAGAGGTCCCTTTAAGAGACAAGCTCAGCCCACTCCTGATCTCTTTCACTCTTGAGAAGAGGCAAGTAGGTCTCTGCCTCTCTCCCTCTCCCCACCTCCTCTTCTCTCTCCCCCCCCCACACCCTTCCTTTCCTTTATCTCAATAAAGTCCACACACAAACTCTGTCTGCACAGAGTATTCTTTCGCCAGTAGTGGTTTGGACCCGCCCTCCACGGGACCTGATGCAATCACAACACCTCTGTCTTGATTTAAAACAAACAAGCAAACAAAAAACAGATTACATTTCTAAAGCTAACAATCAAGGTCCCTTATTAGGGCACTTCCTCCTCCCGAGGCTGACCAAGGTCCAGCTATCAGTGTTGAAGTCCAGCAATCAAAAGCCCCCTTTGACTCACCTAATTAACATGCCCAATTAAAGTTAAATATGTAACTTCATCCGAACATAGGGTCCCCATTTTACCTGTATAAACTGCAATTTACTTCCGGACCAAGTCTGTTTCCTCTCTCCAGAAGCAGTCTCCTCTCCCCAAATATCCCTCCCCCCTCCCATTTTTCCTTCCCCTTCTTCCTAGTCTTCTGTCTCCTATTTTTGTCTCCTATTTCCTGCCCGTAGTCACTCTGGGGCAAATAAATCTTTGTAATGACAACTTGGTCTTGCGGTGTTCTGAGCCAGTATCATTCCTTACATTTCTTTTTTTTTCCTTCCTTTCTCATTCGTTTATTGGGTTTGTTGTTGTTGTTGTTGTTGTTTTGCTTTGTTTTTGTTGTTTTTGTTTTTGTTTTTTTGGTTTTGGTTTTGTTTTGTTTTGAGACAGGGTTTCTCTGTGTAGCCCTGGCTATCCAGGAACTCTGCTCTGTGGACCAGGCTGGCTTTGAGTTCCAAGATCCACCTGCCTCTGCCTTCCGAGTGTTGGTATTGATTAAAGGCACGCGCCCCCATGTCTGACTCCTGTTTTCTTCTTCCTATGTATCCTAGTATTTCCTAAGGAAGTTTGTTAATTATATTTATTAATGTTAAAGTCTATTGTACCAAGGTCTAAAACTTGCGTTCGAGACTGGCCTCTCTATCTTCACCAGCCCTGTGCAGTAGGACGTCACTATGGAACTGCAGAACCCAGCATTTTCAGTACAGGCTTAGTGTGGTAAGTCAGGTAAGAAAACGCTTCAAGACTAACAGTAAATACTGCACCCAAACTAGATCAAGATTATGCGATCACATGCGCTCCCTAGTGTCCGTGAAAGAGCTCCGAGCCGCAGCCTAAGTGATAAAACAAGCAGAGAGCGAGGGCCAAGCGGAGTACAACAGCCAAGCCTTTTCCTTCCCGCCCACGTCCTGAACAGTGCCAATCAGACGGCTGCTTCCGTATGGAGGCGGTACTTCCTTCTGCAGCGTGCACGCGTGCGTGAAGTCCCGCCCCGGAACTGCAGTTTCAGACCCTGCTGCTGCTGCAGTTCCGGGTCAGGTTGGCGCAGACGTCCCCGGTGCAGGAGAGAAGTCTGGCGGTGAGTAGTCCTGGTGAGAGCGGTGCGCGTGGCCCCTCTGCGGCTGGCTCCCGGTGTCCCCAAGGCATAGTGGGTTACGGGTGCACCGTCAGCCCTGGTTCCCGGACGGCCCACGCCTGATGCCGGTAACCACGCATCCAGGCCCAGGAACTTCCCTTGAAGGTCTCGTGCGATCGCAGTGCCTGAGGAACTCTTGTAGGCGGTGCAGGGCACTTCCCAGGGCCCATTTTTAGTGACATTCTTTTCGGTTCGTCAAGGTGGGGCCGAGGTGCGGTGGGGTCGAGGTGCGGTGGGGTCGTTGTGTAGTCGATGTCTGGGACCGCTGCTTGAGCCTGGCCTGCGAGTCAGTGTGCTGCTCTCTACAACAGGCGCCATGCTAAGCGGGTTTTGACGTGCGTCACCATGTCGTATTCAAATGACGACCCAGTGGGTTAAATACCTCATTATCCTTAAATAGTAGGTGAGGGAACTGAGCCACAGAGAGGTTTACCAAAGACGCTGAGGTGCTAAGTGTTGGATCCAGATATGAATCGAGTTTTACCTTATGCTTCCACAAATTCTGTTCTTTCTTGTTTAAAGAGGATCACTGTGGAGCCACTTTGACTCAAACGAATCTCGCATAACCCATTACCCCATTTAAAGACATGGTCTCATGTGGCCATGGCTGGCTTTGAACTCCTGATCTTCCTAACTCCGTTTCTGGAAGGCTTGATACCCACTAAGCATGGTTTTACGCAGTACCGGGGGCGGAACCTAGGGCTTCATTCGTACTAGGCTAACACTCTGAGCTACAACTCCTGCTAGCTCTCGATTGCTTAAAATGTAATTAGAAAGCTTCTCGGGGTGGAGATGGCATTGCCTTGTTCTAATAGGGAAGAGAACTCGGCGCACTTGTAATAAATAAAGCATACTCTATCCCCTAAAGCCAGAAATGAAAATCCATCTCCAGTCCTTACTCCATCTTAAAAATGGCCTCTGTAGGTCAGGCACTATTTTGTCACCTCTGTTGTAATTTCAACTATTTGTGTATAGCCTAAAAGTAGATATTAGCTTGGCCCTCTCTTTTTAACAGGATTAAAACACTAAATTCTGAGAAGATCGGTAGTGTTGTTGAAGGTTGCATACAATTAAGTGTTGGGGCTGGGATCCTGACTCAAGTTAGCTCATGTTACTATATCGCCTGTGTTCCGACTGCTCCCAGCCCAGCTCCCTATTCTGTGAGCGTGCTTCATTTTCTGCCTGGGAGCATCTGCTCTATGTATGTTAAACCATCTTTGGGTTCTCGGTTGTTTGCAGGGTCAAGTATGTTTTAGGTTCATCGGAACATGTGTGTTGTCATAGAACCCATGCTTCACAGTTGCTAACCTGAAAGAACGTTTCTTTTCAGCAACCATGAAGTTAAAGGAGATCAAATCAAGGCCAAAGCCACCGAGTCGTGGTACATTTCAGACAAAGGGCATCAAAGTTGTGGGGAAGTGGAAGCAGGTGAAGATCGACCCAAATCTGTTTGCAGATGGACAGATGGATGACTTGGTGTGCTTTGAGGAACTGACAGATTACCGTTTAGTCTCCCCTGCCAAAAACCCCTCTGGTTTCTTCTCAAACGAGGAGCCCAAGAAGAGAAAGGCCCAGGCTGTTTCAGAAGAGGAGGAGGAGGATGAAGAAGAAGAGTCTAGCTCTCCGAAGAAGAAGACCAAGTTGAAGAAACGGAAAGATGTGTTAGTGACTGCCAAAGGAAGTACTGCCCAGGATGAAGTCAAAGATTCTGAGCCAGAGACTGTTTGTTTGGATCAAAAGGTAGGGGACGCAGCCTCGGAAAGCCTGGCACAGGCTGTTCCAAAAAAGAAGAAAAACAAAGGGAAAAAGAAATTAGATCTTTCCCAGAGCACCGCCTCTAAAGTGCCCAAAAAAGCAAAGACATGGATGCCTGAAGTGCATGACCAGAAGGCAGACGTGTCCGCCTGGAGGGACCTGTTTGTGCCCAAGGCTGTTCTCCGAGCACTCAGCTTCCTAGGCTTCTCCGCACCCACCCCGATCCAGGCTCTGACCTTGGCCCCTGCCATCCGGGACAAGCTGGACATCCTTGGAGCCGCTGAGACAGGTAAGGGCTGTGCTGAGAGCGGTTAGATCCAGGCTTTGGTTGCTCATAGGCTGGAAAACTGGAGAAGGGGAATGTTGAGAACATGACCACAAAAGCCATGTTGAATGACGATGTTGAGAAAGCATCCAGCTCTGGGCTGGAATCTGCCCCTGCTGACTTTGGTGCCCTTGCTTTATCTCTGTAGAGCATGTGAGATGGGGGTGGCAGTACTGCTTACTCCCTTGCTCTCAGGCTGAGAGGCTTCTGTTACAGGCCATCAAGAATGGATGTTAAATTTTTATTTATTATTTATTTATTTATTATTATTATTATTTTTACAAATGTTCTTCTTGCATGTTTTTTAGGTATGTGGGACTTTGTTTTTAAAATGTTGATAATGGTCAATTATATTGGGTTTCAGAAATGGAAACAATACATTCCTGAGAAACAGTGAACTTGATCACAATATGCTGTTTATATGTTGGATTTGGTCAGGTGTGAACATGAAATGAGAATGTCCATCTCTAGTTTTACTGTAATGTTCTTGTCTGGTGTTAGAACTGATAGTAACATCGGCCTTGATAGCTTGTGAAGCGTTCTGTTGTCAGTTATCTGAAAGAGTTTTAAATAATTGATTTTCTTTCACCTTTAAATATTTGTTAGAATTCATCTGGGCTTGCTCTTCCCTTTTAAAGAGGTTTTTAAGTACAGATTTGAAATTTTAAAACATTAGAGTTTTTTGTTTTAATTCGTTTTTCCTGTGTGATAGTTTTCAACTTAAAATTCTATCCAGTTTTCTGTTTCATGTAGCTGATGGTCTGTTACCAGGTTCATAAATGTTTTATATATTAAGACATTCTTGTCAGTGCACTAGGTTAGCTGGCTCCTTTCCGTGACAGAGCAACCATCTGTATCCTGTAGGGGGCTTTTTGTGGCGCCTGCGTTCATCTGCAGCTTTTCCTTGTGGCTTTGTTCTGATGTTAGCATGGCCTGTCCTTTCCATACTGTTCTGTAGATTTTGTTTGACAAACTGCTTTTCTATGTGCTATGCTTTTCTTGTGTGTAGTACATAATTTTTGTTCTTTAACTGAGTTATTCAGGCCATTTGTACTTAATGTGGTTACAGAAAACAGCTGAGTTAAGTCTGTTCCGACTTTTCCCTAGTTGTCCAAGAGGTTCTTTGTTGTTTGTTACCTTACTTGAGATTGAATTTTTTGGTGATATTACAGATTAAATATTTATTTGAAATATTTGAGACACTTACTGTTTTAGATTTGGATTTTTTTAAATTAAAATTTCATCTATATAGTGAAATATCTTAGGAATAGGATCCACGACTGTGTATGAAATCCACTTATATTTTATACACTCCTTAAAAATATAGCCTGTAGGCCATGTTGGCAACTCAGAATGTTTAAAATTTTTTAGTATTTGGGAATTCAGATTTTTGGGTTGGGATCCTCAGCTTGTATTAGGATGTTTTTAAGAACAAACAGAAACTGTGATGGTACATGCCTTTAAGAAGCAGGAAGGTCTGTGGGTTCAGCCTGGTCTACAGAGCAAGTTCCAAGCCAGCCAGAGCTGCATAGACCTTCATCTCAAAATGAAACAACAGAAAACGAGATGTTTGTTGTGACACCACAGCTGCTGTGGGGTTTTACCAAACCAAGTACTTCATCTCTCAACTCCAGCCGTGTGCCCTTTTCTGCAGGTCAGTTCTGTCTACTTCCCCAACAAGCCTAGGTCCAGTCGCACAAGCCTGTTTCCTTACTGGGCTCCGTTCCTGACTTGTTCAAATGAAGGAGTGCATAGTAACCTCCTTGGTTTAATACTTTTCTAAAAAGCCCCCAGAACCCAGGGAGACATATGCACTGGCTTAAAGGGTATAACTCGGGAACAGTTCGATTGGAGAGAGCGACAAAATGCTGAGGACAGAGGACTTCCGTGTACCCGTCTGGGCATACCAGCTTTTATGAGTTCCCCATCCGGGAGAGCTCTTCAAATCCCATCCTTTGCAGTGTTCATATAGAGCTTCCTTCCATTATAACCTATTAAAGCCTTGGTCGTTGGACATGGACATTGGTCTTCAGTCCTCCTCTCCGAGGGATGTGCATGAGAGTCCCAGCCTGTGGCCACCAGCCATGCCCTCAAGTTTTCCAGGTGCGATTGGTCTCAGTTCACCGTCATCTCACTAGTGCACATAGACCCTGTTACTCCTGAGGCCAGGAACGGAAGGTGGGGATGAACTGTTATAACAAAAGATGCTCCTAATGAGAAGTTAGAGTTGTTTCCAGAAGTTCTGTGCCAGGAACTGGGAATGAGACCAAGTACACATTCATTGCGCTGTCTCCTTTCTTGTTTTGCTAGCCACAGGTCTTTGTGGTGTCTTTTAGTGTTTGCCTTAGGTTTCACAGTCTGTTACGGTTTGTGCACATATATTTATCATAGTTTGCCTTCAAGTGATACAGTGCCTTATGTGTGATACAAGAGCCTCAAGGGTGCATTTCCATTTCTCCCTCTTTTGTACTTTTGTTGTATGTTTTTTGGTTGTGTATTTCTATCTGTGTTGGAAATCAGGACTATGCTTTAACTGTTTTGCTGTAAGCAGTTATTTTTTAAAAGAGGTTTAAAAAGTACCAGTTTCTTTCTGTTTCTGTAATTTCCAATGCACTTCATTCCCTGTGTAGATGGAGATTCTCATCGACCACCATCCTTTCTTCTGCATGGAAGCTTTGGCTAGCATTCTTTGTAACAGCTCTGTCTGCCAGTGAATTGGCTCAGCTTTGTAAGCTAAATCAGCCTTTGTTTTGTGTTTGTTTTCTGGGTAGTTCTGAATTGTCAGTTTTATTTTTCCTAGACTGTTAGTTACACATGCTGCCATGATATATTTCGGCATTCTTTGTCTCTGATGAAAGTGTAGTTTTTCTTAAACTTTTGAAGTTTTTTGTTTGTTTTAAGCTTTTGTTTCTAATGTTTTGTTTCTTTGCTGTGATTATTTTTTAACTTGGAACTATTCATAAAAGTTTTTTCTCCCTTTTTCCAAGTTTTTAAAAACATTTCTATATGTATGTGCATTTATATATAGGTTTGCACAAGCCAAGGCCTTTGTGTGGAGGTTCTAAGACAACTTGTGGGAGCAGGTTTGCTCCTCCCCCATGTGGGTCTTGGGATCAATCGCAGATCGGCAGACTTAGTGGCAAGTGTCTTTATCCATTGAACCATCTCATCTCACCAGCCCATGAGAGTTCCTTGCAGGTTTGGATTAGGCCTTTTTTCTTCTAGAGACCATGATTGATCTCCCCCACCCCCCGGGACATTCTTGCTTGTTACCTTTAGTATCTAGGAAGGGTACCTTTCAGGTCTCCTAGTAGATCCCCAAACACACATGAGATGCTCTGAGCTGTCTGTACTTTCTGCACATTTATGTAGATTGAATGTCTTTTATATCTTGAGCATTTATACATTGTAGTCATACTTTCTGCAGATTGAAATATAACAGCAAAATTAACATTAATTTCTTCATCACAGTTTCATGGAAGGAATATTCATTCTTACTGTAGTAAGAATCTTAGTGACCAAGTCATGACTTTTTTTCCCCTAAGTTGAGACTTTACAGCTTCCAATCAAAGAACACCTTACAGCCTCTCTTTAGCATGTCTGAGCTGCTCTGGGAGAGCTCGTCTCAGGTGCTAGGACAGCAGCCAGGGGCACACAGTCTGATAGCAGATCTCTGCATGACTGGCAAGCAGGTGGGTAACATTTACACTGTGAATACACTGGACAGAAGGAAGACTCGTGTAGATGGAGCCAGACAGTGTGGGAGTTCCCTATACTGCTTAGAATGATAAGCAGCTTGAAGTTTATGAAGTGTTTATTTATGGACTTGTCAGTTTAGTACTTTTTGGGCCATAATTGACCATGAATAGCTGAAATGCAGAAAGTAAAATGACAATTAAGGAGAAAAGCTGTGCTTCAGATTTTCAGGTTGTAGTGTCCTTTTTGGCCTCTTGGGTGATGTGGGCTCCTTATGCCTTCACAGGTCAGTTTTAAAACACACGGGCCTAGAGACAAACTTGTTAGGATTTCTGAAAGAACTGTTGATTGTATTCCTTCTCTGAAGAAGGTTGAAGCGATGCACAGGTTTTTCCGCAATAAAACACACTCACCTTTCTTTCTTTTTGGTTTCATCACTGGGGTGTTTGTTCATTGTCACTGGTGACGTCAGATCTAGTGCCAGCATGCTGTGCCTTTCTTGTTTTATGCCACATACTCGGCTGCCATGCTCTTCACGAGCCTGTGAAGAGTGGTGGTGCTTTGGGTCGGTCACGCTGACCCTCAGTGCTTTCAGAGTCCCTTATTTCTGTGCAAAGGCAGGAGCTTCAGACAGTGATGTGCTGCATCATGGATTCCTGTTGTGTTTGCTTTACTTCTAAGGAAGCGGGAAAACGCTTGCTTTTGCCATCCCGATGATTCATGCGGTGCTGCAGTGGCATAAGATGAAGGCTCCACCTATCCCACATAGCGCTGGGATACCACCAAGGGAGAGCAGGGTAGGAGCCGCTGCTGATCTTGGATCACCTCGCACGGATGGGACTGAGTCTGGAGTGTTTCTTCATGAGGCCAGAACTGAGAATGAAGCACAGCCCAGTGAGGCTGGGGCGAAGACCGAACCCAAGACTAGTGCCTCTGCTTCAGCCTGGGCACCGCTCTCCCGTGATGGTGATGATGCTGGTGAAGGACCTTCTTCCTTGGTTGAGGACAAGCTTGTCCCCAAGCAGAATGAGGACGGAGGAGACGAGCTTGACGAAGAGCAGCCTGGGAGGTTAAGGCAGGAGCTGTGTGACCGCATTGCTGTCTATAAGGTGCACCCACGGCGCCCCCTGCTGGGACTCGTCCTGACGCCCACTCGAGAGCTGGCCATCCAGGTCAGACAACACATTGATGCTGTGGCCAGGTTTACAGGTGAGATTTAGTTCCACGGAATAAATGTTTCTAAATGCCAGGTGACTGCAGTGGGAGCTGTGGCTCCTGTCCTCTCGCAGCGATTTCTTACTTGCTGGAATTAAGTCCTTTAGAATTGTTGAGTTCCCATAAGGGGACCAGATATCTAAAATGTTTATAGTAACCTAACCTTTTAATAACAAGTTTGCTGACTGCCTTGTGGTAAAAGCTTAATTCTATACCTTTTGGGAAGGGTTTCCACACTATGGTGTTTATCCTAATGAAAGCCACATTGCATGGCTGAGTTCTCACTCAAGTGCAAGGCACTTGCCGAGCACCTCAGCTGTCCTGTCCCTTGGCCCAGAAGCAGTCCTCTTCCCGAGAGATGACAACTCCAGGCCCCAGAAGAGCTCGGGTTCACTTAATGGAAGGGGGCTGAAAGGGCTCCTTACGGTGTGCCGTGTAAACATCCTGCCCAGCACTGTAGTGCACCACTGCTCGTGGTCAGAGCTGTGCAGCTAAGTTTGACCAGGTTCAAATCCCGCCTTTCTCTTGTGGTTAGAAAGAAATGGCAAAGTCAACAGGGTCCAGACCACAAGCTACAGGCTGCCTGCTAAGACCTCTAGGAGTCAAACCAGACCGACTTTTTCAGTACTCCTTGGCATAGAGAGCTGTGCTGGTGACCATGTGCTAGTCCAGAGGATGAGCAGCCAGGTGGAGTAGCAGTGTCTGTTTTCTGTCCGTAGGGATTAAGACAGCAATTTTAGTTGGTGGAATGTCCACACAAAAGCAGCAGAGGATGCTGAATCGCCATCCAGAGATTGTGATCGCCACCCCTGGTCGACTCTGGGAGTTAATTAAAGAAAAACATCCTCATTTAAGCAACCTTCGGCAGCTCAGGTGAGAGGCGGCCCCTCTCCCTTCTCTTACCCTCTGAAGTGAGCCTGAGGTGTGTGATGTGTGCAGGATGGCATGGGTAATGCTTTCTCACTGCCACAAAATACTGTGGCCATCCAGGCCCTATCCTTGCAAACCAAGCATTCACGAGAGAAGTTGGCAATGGTGGGGTGCTTGTGTGTGTGTGTGAATGAGAGTGTGTGACTGGGGTGGGAGTGGGATATTCTGTAGAGGTTTTTCTTCCCTGCAGTTGCACTAACCAAAGATGTGGCCTGTCTGGTCTGCAGGTGCCTCGTGATAGATGAAGCTGATCGAATGGTTGAGAAAGGCCATTTTGCTGAGCTCTCCCAGCTTCTAGAGATGTTAAATGATTCCCAGTACAACCCCAATCGACAAACTCTTGTGTTTTCTGCCACACTAACCCTGGTACACCAAGCTCCTGCTCGAATCCTTCATAAGAAGCATGTGAAGAAAATAGATAAAACCGCCAAACTTGACCTTCTCATGCAGAAGATTGGCATGCGGGGCAAGCCAAAAGTTATTGACCTCACGAGGAATGAGGGTACAGTGGAGACCCTGACAGAGACCAAGATCCACTGTGAGACAGATGAGAAAGACTTGTATCTCTACTATTTCCTCATGCAGTACCCAGGCCGCAGCCTGGTGTTTGCCAACAGCATCTCCTGCATCAAACGCCTCTCTGGGCTCCTCAAGGTCCTGGACATCATGCCGCTGACTCTGCATGCCTGCATGCACCAGAAACAGAGGCTCAGAAACCTGGAACAGTTTGCCCGTCTGGAAGAGTAAGTGAACCCTGTCCCCAAAAGCCTGGCTTTGAACCATGAGACACTGTACCCGGGGGGTACCCCACCCCTGTCATAAGTCCCTAAGGAGCAGAAGACAGGCTAGCTCTCTTTTTTCTTCTTCTTCCCTCTTTTCCTTAATTTTATTTCTATATTTGGCAGTGTCACAATTCATTGTATTTGTTTGCTGTTAGCGTTCTCAGAGACTTCCAGTAAGTAGTTAGACTACAGATGAAGTCCTGGGCATCCAGTTACTTCTAACACCCTTGAGAAGTGGCAGAGTGCATTGTGATTGAGAGCAGATACTATAACCAGAGTATCTGACAGCAAATCCTGAACCCTTCACTTCCTTGAAGGTCAAGTTAGTCAATGTCTCTGTGCTTCATTGTCTCACACTTAGGGTAGCGGGTGCTGATGGGATTGCTAGAAGAATAAAGTGACTGGCAACGGTGAAGGGAAAGTATTGGAACTACTACCCAGTGTGACCTTCAGTAATCACGGGCCCCTCCCACTGCTATTGTCATCGCTCTTCTCACTTTGTAGATGACGGTGATGTCTAGAAAAGTTCACCAGCTTGCCCAAGTTTTCACAACGTGGAAGTGACAGGGCTGGGTCTCAGGTGCATCTGTCAGACCCCAGAGCCTATGGGCCAACTCTGATGCAGGGAGTGAGTACAGGCTGTCTGTGTAGGGAAGACTGAGGTAATCTGTCAGTATGGGAGAGAGTAAGTGAGAAAGTATTAGGAGGTAAAGACACTGATCCAGAATGTGTGTGGCTTCATTTCATTCACTGACAGAATATAACATGTGCTTTTCTCAGCCTCAGCTTAATTGTAAAAGGGAGGTGATAGTATTACCTTGTGGGGCTATAGTGTGGAGTGCTTAGTGGGTGCTAAGCTGTCTTATAATTGTTATTCATTTTGTTGTTGTTTGTTTCCATTACAGCTGTGTTCTCTTGGCAACAGATGTGGCAGCTCGGGGTCTGGATATTCCTAAAGTTCAACATGTCATCCATTACCAGGTATGGCTCTTAGCATGAAAGCCCCTCCCCGCCATCCTGCTCCCTTCAGTGAATGGGAAAGTGTTAAAGCAAAGGTTGGAGCAGAGGGGAGGAGTATTTCCCTGCAGCATGTTCACATTAGCATCTAGTGCCCATTATGACTGCTTTTGAGACAGCAGCATCCTATCAAATAACCTTTCTCTTCGGGCCACTTATATCTACAGATTAAAGTGTCAGTCCCTCCCACCCTCTTACCTTCCAATGGCATGGCTGAACATTTGTCTTAGTGTGCTTTTGTTACTATAACAGAATGCCTAAGGCTAGGTGATTTGTAAAGAGGGTGTGCCTGTTGATTCTGGGGGCTGGGAGTTCAAGGGCATGCTACCAGTGTCTGTTCTGCTCGCTCTTCTCTCTGCTTCTGGTGGGAGCCCTGAGGTAGAGGAGTGCGCAGCATGGCCAACATGAAGGAGACTGCTATGTCTCTTGTTAACCAGTCTGCCCCAGAGAGCAAGAACTCACTCCATTCCTCTTTCCAACCCACCTACAAACACTTCCCGCTAGGCCCGCCCAGCACTGCTGCCCTTGTTATACTGAAGAATTAGGCTGCAGCAGGAGTTTTGGTGGGGACAGACCACAGCAGCATTTTTGTTTTTATAGTTTTAATTTATATTGAAAATTGATTTTTTCATATAGTATATTTTTTATATAGTATATTCTAATCATGGTTCCCTCCCTTAAGTCATCCCAGATCCTCCCATCTTCCCACTCCCACACATCTATACCTTTTCTTTCTTTCTCATTACAAAATAGGCAACAATACAAAGAAATAGGACAATACAGACTAGGACAATAACAAACAGAAAAAAGGGCCAAAGATAAAGCATAAGAAACACATACAGATGCAGAGACATACACACTCCCACAAACAAATCCCATAAGCACACAAAGTTACAGACCATGATATATAAACAAAAGACCTGTAAAGGAAAAAAAGCCCAGACAAAGCATTATGTGAGAAAAACCCTCCAAAAATGCCACTGAGTTCATTTTCTGTTGGCTGTCTACTTCTAGGCATGGATCCTGCCCTTAGTGTGATTTGTATACCCAGTGAAACTGTTGGAGAAAACTAATTTTTCCTTTGCCTGTGGTTCTGTTGAGGATGGGCTTGCATCCACTCCTCTCAGCACTGAGACCCCTTCTGTGCAGGCCCTGTGAAGGCTGCCTCATTCTCTGTGTTCGTGTATGTCAATCCTGCTTTGTTTAGAAGGCCCCATTTCTTTGGTGTCTTCCATCCCTACTGGCCTTACACTCTCCCCACCTTTCCTCTTCCACAGTGTTCCCTAATGTGTGAGGGAAGGGATTTGCTGGAGACATCTCAGAGGATAGCAGACTTTTCATTTGTACGTTCCCTTAGCAGAACAGTGGTACTCCGCTAAGTCTGTGACCTATCTAATACCAGATTCTTGGCCACCTGAGCAGTGTCAGGCATGAGTTTCATCTCGCAGAGTGATCCTTAATTCTAAGCAGATATTGGTTGGTTACTCCCACGACTTTTGTGTGTGTTGTCTCTCTCTCTCTCTCATCTGTATGTATGTGTGTGTGTGTGTGTGTGTGTGTGTGTGTGTGTGTGTGTGTGTGCACCAGCACATTATATATGCGGGTCATCATTGTAGATTGAAGGGTTTGTATCTGGATTGCCATTTGCCTTTCTCTTCTTGTAACAACCAGAGTACCTTCCAGTACCGTGAACGCTAGTCTGCGTAAGCACTCACTAGCCCATAAGGATGATGATTCTAGGTAGGCATCAGCTCAGCTTCTTCATGTTCAGTGAGTTGTGTAGGTGCTGTCTTCAGCAGTAGGGTCTTACCATTAGTTTGTGGAGAGCAACAGTTAGCAGTAGCTTGGGTTGTTTGGGGGTTTTGTATAGGACCCTCACAGCAGTATGTTAAATGGCTAGTCTGGTGTGCAGTGCAAGAGTGGTGTCGTTAAGACCTCCCTTGGCTAAATCCTAGCTGTGTGACCTTCAACAAATTCTTTGGTCTCCCTCCTCAGTTTTCTCATTTTGTGGATGGCAGGGTAGTGTGTTGCTGGGTTAGGAAGGCATATGTAAAGGTCTTGGGCTGCCCAATTGGAAACACTGACTACATGTTCTGGAACAGCAGCAGCAGTAGCATTAGTGATTGTGAAGAGCGAACAGCAGCAGGTAGTTGTAGCTGGGAGCACGGGCTCCAGATCCTACCGCAGGAGTAGAACACCACTCTGATGCCTCAGGGTTGACAGCTTTGGGCCAGGACTTTGGCACCATTCATTGTTGTGCTGTTACCTATAAGCTGGAAGCAACAACCGCACCTGCCCCTTAGGGTTGTTAGAACTGGCTGGAGAGTGAAGCACCCACCACGGTGTGGAAAGTCTGCCATCTCTTAGGACATTTTTTGTAAGCAGGGTTTTTCGTTGGGACCACTGGTTCCCCAGTTACACAGAGACTTAATATTAATTATAAATGCTCAGCCGATAACTTAGGCTTGTTACTAAACTAGCACTTGCAACTTAAATTAACCCATATTTCTTACCTACATTCTACCACTTGGCAGTACCTTTTTTCAGCACAGAATGCTTGTCTTGCTTCTTGTGTAACCTCTACCTGCCCAACTATTGGCCAGTCAGCTCTTTATTAACATGAGAATGATACATATTTACAGTGTACAGAAAGATTGTTCCACAGAAGTTTTTTACTTTTTTTATTTTTTTTTGCTTTGAAAAATATTTTGGGAGTACCAGTTTCAGATTAGCTCATCTCTGGAACCAGGTACTGGGTTGCTTGTAGACGATACCAGGACCACATAACATAGTCCCAGCCCCTAAGAAGCACTGCATCCCATAGTGGAGATATGGCCACTACTGTAACATAAGACGGGAAATTATCACATGTAATACAGTTTGAGAGGTGCTGAGTGCTTTCCAGAAGATGGTACTGTTCCAGGATGGAGAGGATGGGGTGTGCAGAGGGAGAAAAGGGCTGTGTGGGTAGCTGTGTTTGGGGTACGTCTTCGTTAGGGTTCTGCTGCTGTAATAAACACCATGACCCAAAAGCATCCTGGGGAGGAGAGCGTTTGTTTCACTTTACAGTTTATAGCTCACTGTGAAGGGAGGGCAGGGCAGGAGCCTGGAGGCAGGAACTGAAGCTGACAGCCGTAGAGTGCTGCTTACTGACTGGTTCCTGCTGGTTTCCTCAGATTGCTTGCTTATATAACCCAAGACCACCTGTGGAGGGGGCTCTCACATCAATCATCAATCAATAAAATGCCCCCAGACTTGTCCATAGGCCAATTGATCTGATTGCAGTGTTTCCTCAGTTGAAGTTCCGTCTTTGCAGATGACTTAACACAGGGTCACTACTCGGAGTGAGGGAGAGGAGGACCTTGTTGGGACGTGAGTAGGTGAACAGTTGTGGCCAACAGAGTCAGCTAGGAACGGATGGCTGAAGCCTAGAGTGTCACGGTCAGGAGTTGGCTCTTCATTCTATAACATGAAAGGTGGCAAGCCTCATTGCTAGAACATGGTAAGCGGTCTGCAGTAGACACTGAGCCACTGTACTTCATTAGTCTTGGTTGCCCCAGGAGGCAGGGTATGAATACTCATGCCATGTTGTCTGTGGACAATGTACCTGCCATAGGTTGACCTGGGCTTCGCAGGTCTTTGAATTGAATCCTGGTTCCCACACTCATTTAGTTGGTTAATTAGGGGAAGTGAGTAGACCACCTTGTATTTTAGTTTCCTGGTTTACAATATGTGAGTAATGTTCAAGTATTTCCTATGACTAGGATAGTTTTACCTTCATTTTATTTTCTTTTTTTTTTTCCAAACAGCGTTTTTCTCTGTAGCTCTGACTGTCCTGGAACTCTCTTTGTAGACCAGGCTGGCACAGAGATCTGCCTGCCTCTGCCTTTCAAGTTCTGGGAATAATGGCGAAGGCATGTGCTACACTGCCGGACCTTCATTACATTTCTATTTCTGTGATAAAACAGTGTGACCAAGGCAATTTAGAAGAAAGGGTTTATTTATGGTTAATGGCTATGGTTCCAGAGTGATAAGTCCACAATGAGGGAGGAGAGCTAATGGGTGGGAGGCGGGTGGAGCAGGAGCTGAGTGCTCAGCTGCAGATATGATACAGAGAGTACACTGGAAATGGTACGTGGCTTCCGAAGCCTCAAAGCCTGCCACCAGTGACACACTTTCCCAGCAAGGTAATACCTCCTAAGCCTCAAAAATGGGAACCAGATATTCAGAGACCTAGGAAACATCTCATTCACACCACACATACAGTGTTCTGTGGCTGGTTGGCCTCGGGCAGTCACTCAGTGACTGTTCTGTCGTCAGTTGCCCGTGCCGAGTGGGGACATTGCAAAGCTGAGACTGAAGTAGACTAGATGGCGTTGGTTACAAGGGGCGTGGGAGTGGCGAGTAGAAGAGACACCCAGGTTGATTGTGAAGAGCTGAGCCAGTGTGGAGGCCATGGGAGCCTGGTGGGTGGACTGTCAACTTAGGGACAGTCTGTGTTTCTGGAAGTAGGGTTACATTGGTCCACAGTGCTGGAGAGGTTTCTGACCCTCAGAGAGCAGAGCCAGTTTGGGGCTGTGGCTCTGAGGGAAAGAACACTGCTGGACATTGTCTGTGTGCTGATCCTCTTTGCTGCTTTGGCAGGTGCCCCGCACCTCAGAGATTTATATCCACCGGAGTGGTCGAACTGCCCGTGCTACCAGTGAAGGCCTCAGCTTGATGCTGATTGGGCCTGAGGATGTGATGAACTTCAAGAAGATTTACAAAACTCTGAAGAAGGATGAGGACATCCCACTGTTCCCAGTGCAGTCAAAGTACATGGATGTGGTCAAGGTAAAGCAGTTAAACCCCCCTCATGGAGCACCTTGCTCTGAGACCAGAAGCCTAGAGAACTGAGAAGTGGTTCTGCTGATGGCTGGATGGTGGCTTTTGTAAAAAGGCTGGGAGCACCAGACCTGGGAGAAAGGCAGAAAAGGGTTGTGGTGGTATTTTTCTGTGCTTACCTGAAGATCAGAGTTTGGAGCTAGCCACTAGTTAGCTGTAGGGGCCAGGCGGTGGTGCACACCTTTAATCCCGGCACTTGGGAGGCAGAGGCAAGACAGATCTCTGAGTTCAAGGCCAGCCTGGGCTACACAAGATTGTATCAGTCTAAGAGAGAAACAGCCAGGCAGTGGTGACTCTCACCTTTAATCCCAGCACTAGGAAGGTCGAGACAGGAAGGGATCCAGCTGGGCGGAGAGAGGGCTATAAAGCGGGAAGAGACAGGAGGCATAGCATTCAGTCTCAGTCTGAGGATTCCTGGAGAGAGGATCGCCCATTCGGTCTGAGGATTCGGTAGAGGTAAGAGCTAGCAGCTGGCTGCTCCGCTTCTCTGATCTTTCAGCATTTACCCCTTTATCTGACTCGGGGTTCTTATTGAAGACCAATTAGAGTTCGTGCTACATTTTCTCCCCCATTCACTTTGGTGTGTGATCTGGAAGTCTCCACTGCTTCCACTCCAACTAGACAGTGCAGTGAGCACAGCCATACTGACATCTGTCAGAGAGCTGTGAACAGCAAGGTGAATGCTGAAGGTTTGGTGTACTCCTGTAGCAGAGACAGTAAGGCTTGCTTTCTGTATCTGGATTAACTCGGGAGCATTCACTGTGAAGGTGTACCCTGGGTCTCGGTGTAGCAGGGACTAATGTGGGGTATTCTCCCCAGAGGTGTGTGTCTAGGCCAGGCCCACAGCACGGTGAGATTTCCGTGGAGCCTTGAGGCTAGCAGGCATGTGGTTATGATGTGGGGAGAGGAACTTTCATCTTTCACAGAGGTGAGGAAGGGCAGAGAGGGGGTGGAGTTGCAGCCATTGAGGGAGTGGAAACAAGGCAGCTGGAGGGCCTGTGGCCACCTGGCATGGAAGGTATGTTGGTCGTGTGAGGATTGGTGATGGGGCTGGTGGGAGGTGGGGAGGGACACAGAATTCCTGTTGAGCCTGGGAGCACCCCATTTTTATGGTTTCTTATCCTCAGTGCACGTGATCTCCCATGTCAGGTTGAAGGGGGCATTGTATCACTGCATTCTGACCCCAAAGCCATGAGAAGAATTGAGGAGACCAAATGTGACACCTGGGGAGACTAGTTCAGTCTGGCCACCCGTAAGTTGGAAGCCTGGGACAGTCCTCTATGAGGTGCAAGCAGGCTTTCGTGGTTGTGTGGATAATGATGACCAGGTGTTGTCAGGAGCCCAGGCAAAGGGTTTCAGTGGGATCTGAGTTAGTCTCGCTGCTTACAGCTCACAGAGCAGTTAGGACAGTTTCAGTGAAGCTTCGCTTGCTGAGAGGCCCGGGCCCTGTCAAATGGGAATTTTGTGCCCCTGTCCCCTCAGGAGCGGATCCGCCTAGCCCGACAGGTTGAAAAGGCTGAGTACCGGAACTTCCAGGCTTGTTTGCACAACTCCTGGATTGAGCAGGCGGCGGCAGCCCTCGAGATCGAGCTGGAAGAAGACATGTACAAAGGTGCGCCCAGGCTGGGTGGGTGGGAGGCTGCCTCCAGCACTGGATTTCCCTTAACTTGCACGTGGCTGGAACCATCGTCGCTTCTGTGACCCATCAGAAACAGCAGTGGGCCCTTTTCTTGTCTCATGCCTACTCATCCCGGGTGGGCCTGCCCTGGACCTTTCCTATGTGTCTGATTCTGTCCCATATGACAGCCCATGGAGTCTCCGACCAGGAGCAGACACAGCAGATGTCCTAGTTAATGCAGCCTGTTCTCTTACTGTGTCCTTAGCCTCTTTGTATGCCTCTTTCTTCTGTAAGACAGGCAGTAAACTTCCTGTCTCCTGGCTTAAGATTGAGTAAAGGAGGCAAACTGTGTACAGGTGTGCTCAAAAATAGGTGTAGAAGACTGTTAAGTCATTATTTATCGTTGTATTTAGTACTGCACCTGCCTTGCAAGGCAGCAAAGCACCTCCATATCTCCCAACACCCTAGCCTCTTGGCATGAATCGAGTGGGAACTATTATTCTTTTACATGCAGGGGATGGCTCCCAAAGAGAAGGAATCTGTACATTAGAACAGCTCTACCGCCAGGCATTACCTAAGCCCTCTTCTGTCTTTGGGCCAGAAGCCAAGGAAGGGACCAGGCTGCACGGCCTTGCGTAGGGAAGCTGAGGATTACATCTGGGGCTCATGACAGTGTTTGTGCTCCTTCTTCCACACAGCCGCTCAGCTCAGCTGTGGTGTTGGCTTCTCTGCCCAGCCATCAAGTTGAGAGGCAGACTGCTGCTCAGTGTGGGAGCCGGGAGTTTGCCAACAGTGCACTCCTCCTTGTGGCTCTGACCTAGGGCTCAAATAGAGATGTGAGTCCCTGACTTTCCTTTTTGAGGTCAGGCTTGCTTGGATGGGGACTTGGGCTGCGTCCACCTCAGTGTGCAGTTACAGCATTGTTTGGGGAGGTACTGAAGAATCAGGCTGCAGAGAAGTGTTTACTCTCTTCTGAGGAGTGTGTGGTTGCCGTACTTGAGGTGGCAGTGTGTGTCTAGCTGCAGTGGTAGAGCAGCAGTCTTCAGTCAGATGTGAGCTCCGATCTCGGACAGTTTGCTTTGCACCAGTGATGTGACTCCTAAGACCGGGTTACCTTCTCTGTAAATTGAGGACTGTCTTTACTGGCCCTGAACAGTGACGGACGGTGGCCCATCGCATCTCTCCTAAACAGAAATTTTGTTTATGGTTCTGAACTTCAAGCACCATAACTTATATTAGTCTAAAAAAGTGTTTCTGCATAAACATGATGTTATATTTGTATCTCAAGGAGGAAAAGCCGACCAGCAGGAAGAGCGTCGGCGACAGAAGCAGATGAAGATCCTGAAGCAGGAGCTACGCCATCTGCTCTCCCAGCCACTCTTCCAGGAGAACCTGAAGACCAGGTACCCCACACAGTCTGGCAGGCCGCCTCAGCCTGTGGTGGCCCCCGGGAATGGCGAGTCTGCGCTGAGCTGCCTCTCCAGACAGAAGAGGAGGAGGAAGAAGCCAAAAGAGCATCGGCCACCACCACAGCCAAGTTCAAGCACAAGCTAACTTGCCCCCAGCGTGATGACTGCTCAGTGGTACCTCTCCTCCAGCCATCTGTGAAAGCCTTCCTAGCCTGCGCTTCACTCCGCCATCCACCCAGGAAAATGTCTCACTCTTCCATCTTTTAGCCAAAAAGACCTCGTGCACATGTGTGTTGTGGAGTAAGTGTAGTAGCCAGCAACTGTGTCTCTGCATCCAGTTTATGCAGGCTTCTTGTGTACACCTTGGTTTCCCAATTAAAAACAAGTGGGAGCAGAGAATCACCCTGAGGGTGTTGCAGTGTATTTTGTCATTAATTCTGAGATTCCCTTGGGCCAGCACAGCACTGTTCCTTCATAGGGGAAATGATGTCACTGTATCACAAACTGTCAGGTCTTCAGCCTATGTCCCTGTCCTTTTCCACAGTGATATAATACCAGCTCCTTTTCTGTGTCACACTGCTGTCTTATCTAAGCCACCCTGGAAGGTGGACAGGGAAGAGCTTGCTGTCCTTGGACTGCCCTCAGCTCATAAGGGTGTCAGTCACTAATCTGTAGGGTCCAGAGAGACCACGGGATCTGGCCCAAGCTCCTGGGCATGATTCCGTGAATTGTCTTTGTCCTAGCCTTTTTGTAAAACAGACTCCTCAGTCTGAATTGTCATGTGTCATTCCTGGTGTATGGCTGTGTTCTCTAGGAGGAGCTCAGTGCTCTGGGCTACTTGCCTCACAGTGCTGGCCATCGTTGAGCTGGCATTAGGGCCTAGTGTAAATACACTGTAGGAACAGTGCCGCCTGCTGCCCAGCCCCTGGTCAGTCTGACTGACCTGGGAGAAGCACAGCACAGCCTGGACTTTGAGACAGATCTTCACAGGCATGGTTCAGATGTTTCCCTTGAGGAGTCTGGATTTTAGTATACAGGCATGCCTAAATATCCTAATATGTAAGAAACACAGTCTCCTTATCTCGTAGCAAGGTTGAGAGGTAGCCATGGGGATTCCCTTTTAGCCTTGAGCCTAAACTCAGATTCTGGTGTCACTGTTGACTGATTGCCTGGCATTAAGATACCTTTTAACCCCTGAACTAATAGAGATTGAGCCCAGGGCCTCGTGTGCTGGACAAGTATCTGAACCATATATATGCAATGTGATGGAGGATGGGGGCTGCTCACCCATGGAGATAATTGGTTCTGGGGATCTAGCTCAGGTTGTTAGGCTTAGATGGTGAGTGCTTGTATCCATTGAGCCTTCTGCTGACTACTTCTTAGTTTGGATAGTCTCATTGTCTAGGCAAGCCATGAACTGGGAACCCGCCTGCCTCAGCATCTTCACAAGCAAGGATTATAGGACTGTACCAATCATAGCTATTAGATACTTATTGATTTAAATTCTCATTTGGTAGTCTGAGGTCATGGTGTATCTTAATACCCTTTTTTTCTGTAGTTGAGAAAGTGAACCTTTAATGGTTAAGATTTAGCCATTGCCACCCAACATTGCCAGATGAGATGTTGGTAACCTGGGGCATCTTCCATCTGAGTGAGTTCTACTGTTCTGATGTTAGGGACACAGCAACATCTCCAGGTAGGTGCCCTTCCCGTAACCCCACTATCTGCTGACTTGGCTGGGATGACAAAGCAAACATGAAGAGATCACCTAGGAGCCTCCACTTTCCAAATGATGCTATGAGATAGATGTCCGTGGAGCTTATAAGCGGGCTCAGGGGTCCCGCACACCCTTGATAAAATATGGCCAGTGTTCCAAGCCCATCTGTGTCCACTAGTGTGCTAAGGCTTTGGTCAAGTCTGTACACAGCTTCCCACACCCTTCCAGTGTGGTCCACTCATGAGTGGCCTGTGGGAAGATGGTGGTGTTCATTGTGTAACTAGTATCTGCATTAAGAAGCCAGACTGAAAGATAGATACTGTTTTAATGCTACGAATGATGTTTTCATCTGAAGGAAGCTGAAGGGCTTGGCCTTGGGCACTCACTGAACCCCAAGCCCCGCTGTCCCAGGCTAGCTGTATACTTGGCTCTTAGACCTGTTGCACTGCTCGCCTATGGCTCCTACTTAGGGAAGCCACTCACTTCTGAGGCATGCTCCTCTGCTTCCAAAGCTCAGCGGTGAAATGGCTTGGGCAAGGTTCCACAGTTGAGACTCACTTGGGCAGCTGACCCTAGCACAGTCTCTCCTGTTGTAGGAAGACAGCCAGAGCAGGCACACTGCTCTGTTATTGCGCCTGCTAGTTGTTGCCTCTGGGAACGTGAGGAACGCACAAGCATTGGCAAAGATGACCTTAAAGCGCCTGTGCTTCCAGTGTTTTGTCTAGAAAGAGGTGGCTGTAGGGGTGCAGGAGTCATTCAGAAAGCAGGTACGCTGGCATGACCTGTTGCTGTAGCCTAGTTAGGAACTGCTGTGGGCCACCAGGTTTAACATGTTCCCAAGTCTCCCCATTGCCCTGTTCCTAGACTCATCTGAACTCGGAGCAGCCCAGGCAGGCATCCTGTGCTCATACCATTCAGCCGGGAAGTGAATAGTCTGGCTGAAGGTAGACACGGAAATGGGCCCCTGCTCTTCTGGAGTCCTTGTCATAGACCCCAACGCTCATACCCAGATAGGGGCAGGACACTTAACAAATCAATAGACCAGATTTACACTCCTGTGCCAGTGACAGGCTCACTTAGCTGGAGCCCTTGGATCTAAATGTTGGCCTTGGTTCCCACACTGCCCAGACACCTGGGTCCTTTTGACTTACACCAAGCAAAAGATAGAGGTCCAAGATTTGTGTAAGACTCAGGATCCTTCTGGTCTTGTGTGCAGACTGTCGTAGGCCCTCACAGTAGCCCCAGCAGCCTTTATCCCTGCAGAATGAAACATTGTGGTAGGGGGGACTTTGCACCCAAGGAAGGGTACCAGCGGGTGGTTCCATGGCTGTCCTACAGAAGGCATGGCTAGCTAGTGCCTCAACCCAGTTGGAGGCTGACTTTCCCACGGTGTCCTCAGGGGCACTCCTGAAGGTCTGGAGGCAACAAATGAAAAGGGGGCTATTAGGGGGCACGTGCAGAGGAGGAGGCTGCTGCCAGCACCGGAAACGCCCCTGCCGCAATGGCTTGTCTGTACTTTCCTGCCTCGCTGCCTCCAGAGCCGGACTGGGGAAACTGAGGAGCCTAGCGCTGCCCTTGTTTCCATGCTACGCCCTACCCTGCTGACTCACCTAGACGCTGCTTCTAGGATTCACTGGGGATGACGACATGAACACACTGACTCAGGTACAGGCCTTTATCTTTGTCAAGCCTTATCCAGGTGAGGTTGACGGCAGAACCCTGAAAGGCCTGTCCCCCAAAGTCAGGAGTTCTGGTCCTGAGGTAGAAGAACCTCACAACCTGAGCTTCATGCTGAAGGCTAAAGTCCTTTTCTGGACTTTGGTATAAAAGTCTCTCTCTCTCTCTCTCTCACTATGAATGACACTACACATTCAGACAGTTGTCTACCATTACCCACCAACACAGTAGGGCTGAACTCTTCATAGGTCCGGTAAGTCACCTGAATATGGCAGCTGACCTGAGTTTTTCTTCCCTATGAGGGCCACTGCCCCTGGTGAAGACTAACCATATATCCCCATTTTCACACAACATCACATCAACACTGCCAGGAACCTCTTCCCAGTAAATAAATAGGTCCAACGAGGTTCTTACAGTAAACGGATACATAGACAGGGTTCCTGGCTTTCCGGTCCAGAGTTTGCAGGCATTACATCATCTATCAAAATAAATACTAAAATTCCTATTAAGTCATGACAGTCCATAGTGGGCACAGGTCTCAGTTCAGTGGCTTTACCCAAAAGGCTGTATGTTTTCTAGTTGTCTAAATCAATTAAAAAAATTGCCAAGTCAGAAGGTTCCATTCAGAATGCAGTCCATTAGGTGACAGGCTCCGGCATGGCCTAAAATTAGTGTTTTTCAGCTGCGTACAGGATGTTGTAGTGGGATGTTTTATAGAGCAGATAAACGGAAGGTATGGCAGCCTCAGGGAACACATGGTGGTTCAGAGCGGTGTCCATCTCGTCCACGTACTCCACCTGCAGAGCGATGTTGAGGGCCTGAGACAGAGCTGTGATCTGGACGTGGTCACACTCCATGGCCATGGGCTCCACTTCCTGCAAGGCCAAAATTAGACACTTAGGGAGGTGGGGGTGGGGTAGGGTGGGTGAGTGCAGCCCTGGCTTTCAGGATCATGGCCACCTGTGCTGCAGGGCGGGGAGGGTGCTCTTCTCAAGCACATGTGGGGACAGGTGCTGACACCCACCTGTCACGGAAGCAACACAGCCATAGACGGCTGGGCTTGCAGAAAAGGAACCTGAACCATTTTTATTTCAAACCCTTAAGGATTGTGCAAAAGTGGAGGAATCTTTCAGGTTAGCATCAAAACTTAGAATTAAAAGGACCTTGCCACCAAAGGCTTCTAAGTACAAGCGCTTGCAGAGGCCAGAACCTGTGGGTGAGCCCTGATGCTGCAGAGACAATAGAGGGGCAAAGATGGTGCCAGGTACCCCAAAGAGGGCAGCTGCTCTTGTGCCTACTGGTAGTCACCATCCAACTTAGAGCCCAATACCTCCTAATTTAAAAAAAAAAATCCGGAGGGCCTTATGAAAATTGCCCACTGTTTACATGCGGGCCATATAAATACATCTTCAGATACATGCATCTAAACGAAAGCCCATCTTTGGGCTAATGTGGCAGGAGCTGCAACTCTGCAGTTTATCAGCAGAGCAGTCCCAAGTCCTGAGATTCCCTGGGACTGCAAGCGGCTTGCTCAAGTGGCCCAGGCCACTCAAGAGGTCTCCATGTACTAACTTTGCTAGTTGGCATTGCAAGGATGTTCCTCTGGGCAGAAACAGTGGCCCTGGGATGTGTAAGAGACAAGACAGGCAGACAAAGCCCAGGCTGGGGGTTACGTCCCCGAGGAGGATGCTAGGGACCTACGTGAGCGCAGAAGTCTTTGATGTCCATTTCCTCATCTATGAAATGTCGGAAGAAGTCAGCGCGGTTCCTGATGAAGGCTGATGTGAGTAGCCGCAAGAACTGCACGATCTGGTCCGAGGAGCTCTGGTCGTTGAACACCTTCAGCAGGCTGGACACTGAGCTGTCCTTCTCTACCAACTCCACCACACTGTAAAACTTCACGCTGCCACCATCAGAATAGACCCTAGCAGGCACCTGCCCCCCACACCCTATGGGACCCCCCTCAGAGCTCATTTTGAGATTGCAAGTGAGATTGCAAAAGCTGAAGCCCAGAGGCACATCTAGGGGTCTCTCACTGAGTCTCCTTCCACCATACTTTCAGAATGGCAGGAGGCCGGCAGCCCTCCAAGCCGAGGTCCCCTGGACCCACATGTCCCCACAAACAGGACATGACTGCCCTGCCCCCGATCCGGGTGGGAGGACTAAGAAAAAAACCGCACAGCTGTGGGTGGGCCAAGGACCTCCAGCCTGTCTGCTCCTGTCTGCTCTGCCCATGTGGGAGGCCTTGGTCCCCAGCCAGTGTGGCTCAGGTGAACTCACGGCATTAAAGGGGTTTCTGAACTTGTGTTCCTCAAAGCCGGCAGCCAGGAGGTCATTTGGAGTCTGGAGCACACGCTCTTTAAACCTAGAGGGGAGGAGACCTGAGGTTTACCTGATGGTCACGGGGAACACAGGGTGTTGCTGTGACAGGCAACTGCCCAGTCCACTGCAGCCTCGAAAGTGCCGTACGTTGTTTCTACAGTGCTCCACATAGCCACGCTGGTCCGCTGCCTTCCCTGCTGACTCCGGCATACTCCCCGGATACGACAATTCCCTTTCAAAGCTCCCTATCCCTGTGGTTCCTGTGACATCTCTTCGTCTGCCCTGGTCCTGTCCAGCGCTTTCCCTTCTCTCCCCCTTCCTTAAGCTAATGAACTGTTTGAGAACACCCCGTGCTCAGCCCCAAATGGTGTAAAGATACAAGGAAATAAAGCATCCTAAAAACCTAGAGCGGGGCTGGGGAGATGGCTCAGAGTTAAGAACACACTCTTGCAGACGATCTCAGTTTGAGTCCCAGTACAAGTTCATAACTGTAACTCCAGTTCTGGGAGATCCAGTGTCCTCTTCTAACCTTTTCTGTCACCGAAGACACATGTGGGACACATAATCACGTGCAGGCAAAACACGCATACGATAAAATGAATAAATCTAATTTTAAAAATAAAAGGACATTCAATGCTCAGTTTCCTATTTAGTTCTCACTGTGCTTCTAGGTGGCTGGGGGATGTTGCATAAGGGAGGTGAGAACTCCGTGGACCCCAGCATGCACTTCCATCCCTCAGACCTCTGATCTGGCTACTCCGTGGGGTAGATTGAAACCAGTCCTAACACCAGCTTGCTCCCAATCAGGTCAGGCCTCCCCGCCCCTAACCCAGTCCCATGGTGTCTGTTCCCACACTGATGCACAGGGTCACAGGGCCCTTATGGACACAGTGAGGAGTCTGTCCTGGCTACTACTATTACCCTCAGGAACAGCCTGGCACTGGGCTGTACTCACTGCCGGGATATAGGGCCAGCAAGATGCCTTGGTAAAAGTGGCTGCCCCGCAGTGGAGCAAAAGAAAGAGAAAGTCATGTGCCTTCACTGTCACACACACAAGAATATGACCAAGGCCAAGGGACAAACTTCTCCTTTTTTCTCTTTTTCCTTGGACAAGCTTCTTCCTTTCTTCTTTCTCTTCTTCTTTCCTCCTCCTTCTTCCTCTTCTTCCTCCTCCTTTTGTTGGTATTTGAAACAAGGTCTTACTGTGTGCCTCCACATGTTTTTTCCTTCCTTCCTTCCTTCCTTCTTTCCTTCCTTCCTTCCTTCCTTCCTTCCTTCCTTCCTTCCGCAAATATCAAGTGCCCACCCAGCATTGGTGAGCCACGCCTTCAGGCAGTGCTGAGCGAATTGTCAGACAAGTTACACCTTCCTCGGCCTCGGGGCTGCCATCCACACCCTCACAGTGGGAAACTAGGTTTCTGGGCATGCCACACCTCTACCAGGCATTTCTCAGCACCCCCTGCTACAGCCTAGTGAGAGGCAGCACAGAAGCGGAGACGTGCACAAGTTCCACTCACTTGAGGATCTCTCTGCTCTTGCCCAGCAAAGACTCCAGGTAGGAATAGCCCAAGGCCCTGTAGAAGCAGTTCCCATCTCCTTTGGTCTTTCGGATTGAGGTAAATCTTTTGCTGAGTTCCTGGGGGGAGAAGAGGACACACGAACCTCAGCAGCAGCAATGGTGTGGGTCAGCCACTGGCCTGGCCCTTGCTCCCTCCGTTCAGGTCCCCCACACCCTCATCCGTCCTGCAGATTCACAAATACACTAACTAGGATGCGAGACCCCAAGGATGTCAGCTCCTGGGCACGAGGCAGCCTTCATCAGGGAAGGCGACACAGAGTTAGATGGGGGTGACAGAGGGTGAGGACAAGAGCTGGGGTGCCCTGGGTTCGAGACATCCACGCCAGACTTCCAATAGCCAGGAAAGGCTGCCTAGAGGAAGCTGGCAGCTGAATGGGGTGTGTGGCCGGGGGGCTGGAGAACACTACACGGCCTCAGCAGTCCTATAAATGTCTCAGCTGTGTCAGGAGTGGCGTGCCACCCATTCCTTTGGCCTACTCCTAGCATCTCTCTGAAATGGCTTAGAGCCCCTCTCTGTCTTGTGGGACAGTAGTCGGGGTTTTGCAGCTGCTACCTGGTTTTAAGGGGACTAGGAAGCCCCAGCAACAAGAAGGCATAGGGCTTATCTGGATTGTGTGAAGCAGGCTGATCAGGGACAGTATCCCTCTTCTCAGACTCTGAGAGGCTAAGGGAACACAGAGCAGACTGTCCTCAACCCTGAGCCCTGCTGGAAGTGCTTCCTGTAGCTATATGCAGACCTCAGGACACCAGTGTCACCCTGAGCTGCTGACTGCTTCCAGGAGTCTCTCCGGGTAAGAGAATCCCCCAGCACCATGCTGTATCTGCAAGGTCCGTAGAAGGAATCCGGAAGACGTAGCAATGCCATCAAAGACCGAGCCCATCTGCCATGTGCACCACGGAGTGGGGGCCTCGCTCTCCATCCTCTCTGGTTCTGGGAGTGACCCTGCAGCCTCCCAGAGATGTCACTAAGCTGAGAGGTCCCCTAGTAGAGCAGTGATGAGATCAGCCCTGCTGGGCAGATCAGGAGCTATGTGGCCACACCTCAGTCTCCTTAGTTGTCAGGTGGGGATAACAGAAATACTTGCCACACAGAATCATAAAAAAGTCTCACGCAAGTAAACCCAGCACTTAGAGCAAGCACTTAGCTTTAAAATGTATGATTTTCCCACAAGGAAAGGATCTCTCTCTGAGGTAAATACCGAATGCGTGATCTCCACCCACTTTGTCTCTTCACCCTCTGCCTCACCTGGATTTTCCTCTGGTAAATCCTGTTTTCAGGATGATCCCGAAGAATGGATAGAATGTCACATTTCTCTGATATTAGGTTGAAAGATGTTTCACTCTGAAAGAGAGAGAAGAACCATTTCTAAGCTGGCTTCAAAAACACCTGAGGGGCTCTTGGAACTGACGGTCTCTGAATGACCTGTTACACAACCCAGAACAATCTCCTTCCCCTTGGAAGGGATGTGTGAACATGTGACCAGCATCCTAGGAACCTGCCTGGATTGTCCTGGTCCCAGGACAAGAACAATCAGGACCGACACCATCATGAAGTATCTTGATTATAAAAACTGACCTCATAATTTGCTAACAGATTCATTTCATAGTATTTAATACCTCAGACTTAATAAACCTCTACGCTGGAGTATGTTCCCGCCTCAATCATTCATTCATTCGTTCATTCATTCATTCATTTACTTATTCATTCTTTCATTCCTTTACTCCCGTTTCCCTCCCCCAGTTCCTGAACATGCATGTCAGCTTGGTGTCACACGCTGCCAATAAAGGACTATTCCCATCCCTACACAAAAGCCAGTAATACCATGGGGTAAAAGTTAGCTTGAGGTGACCCCATGTGGCAGTGCAGGGTGTGTGCTAGGGAATAGCTAAAGACCCGAGTTCACACAAGGGCTGGGGCAAGTGGGACATCTTCTCATACCGCCTACTGGTGATGCCCAGCTCGGGGCCAAGGCCAGAACCAAACCTGAGCATGTGCCCGTGGGGAGCCAATGTCTCTAAGCCCTGGAAAGACTCGGCAAGCAGGGTGGAGACAGGGCAGATGATGCCATGGATCTAGGAGCGGCAGTCAACTCCCCACCTGTGCCTACTGTGTCACTAGGCCAGGGGTGAGAGTGCTCAGGGGTTGGGGCTCAGCCTACTGGCTCTGCACTCTGGCCACCAGCCACCCAGAAATGGTTTTCTTGACAGAGCGGAATAAAAGGTGCTTGGGCTGGGGAGATGGCTCAGATTGCTGACCACTGGAGACTGAACCCAGGAGCCCATATGGCAGAAGGATAGCACCAATGCTCACAAGTTGTCCTCTGACTTCTGCCAATGGTGTACACTTATACCAACGCGTGTACACTCGCGTGTGTGTGCGCGCACACACATTAGAATTGTTCCTTAAAGTTTTGTTTGACCCACATAAAGGGTTTCCAACTTAAAATAAGGGCTCTATGGCTGAGGATATAGCTCAGTAGATAAAACACTAGCCTTGTAAGTAGGAGGACCAGAGTTCAGATCCCCAGAATACATACAAGCTAAATGAACAACTTGGCCTGTAGTCCTGGCTCTCAGGAGGTTGGTACAAGGGGAATCATTGGGACAAGCTGACTATGTAGATGACCCAAATCTGCATATTCTAGGCCCATAAAAAAGTCTGATGGGGCTTCTGGGAAAGGTCTGGTTTGGGATAAAAAGAGCAGAGATGCTGTTGCAATATCTAAGCAGTCATCCTGTAGACCAGAGGTTGAAAGCCAACATAAGGAGGATGGTTTGAGGATTTGCTGCTACCCTAAGCCCTAAAATGTGGGCAATGGTGACAGGTGCCATTCCTGGGCACCTAGTATGTGCCAAGCACTGGAACAGAAGCTTGTATATCCCCATTATCTCAATTATCACAGCACTCTTGTGAGGTGGCCATTATTATACCCGCGGCACTGTCAAGGTCAGGTGGTTTGAGCTAGGGGGTGATTAATTCAGGTCCGTGTGAAGTTCAAACACACCAAAGTGCTAGGCTGGCACAGACTCCAGAGCTCAAAGGACTCATCTGCCAGACCACAAAGAAATGTCCTGTCCAGGGCAGTGTTGGGTAGTCTTACCCAGAGGCTGGGTCCAACCTTTCACTTCTGCAGGCCCCAGAGACACTGTCCTCCCAAAGTTGCTGATGGGAGTTCAGCGTCTCCAAGAGCCTTGCCAGTCTGTGACGCTCACTGCAGGGTATCGAGGAACAGTCCCTAAGTGACACTAGGCACAGCCATTAAAAGGTAACAGCAGGCTGAGGGTGTAGCTCAACAGTGGAGCACTTGCCTGACAGAGATGCAAGCAAGGTCCCGCGTTCATCCCTAGCTCTGCAAAACACAAAGTTAAACAAGAAAGCAAATCCTACCACCACAGGGGTGAATCAGCCTCTCCCCCGCCTCCTTCGAGCCGTCTACCTGTGCCCAAAGATACCAGCTTCTTCCTCATGTTCCTCCTTTCCAGTTCCTAGTCTCCCCTTCAAAGACCTAGAGACGTCTGGCTTGCAGCTTCCAAGGGCTCCATTTCATTCACAAGTTTTCAAAACCTTAGGTGGAGCTGACTTTGTTGACTTCGTGGGAATAGAACCATGACTTAGATACACATAGTTCTCAGTCATGTTCTCAATCATGGAAGAACGGCATCATTTGTGTAACACACAATTGCTGGTGGGCAGTTAATTCCGCTCACCCTGTGCTGAAGAGGCAAATCTCCATGGGGAGGTATCAGTCTGAATGGCCCTCTTCACACCTTGTTTACATGGCAAGGTGACCCACAGGCTGCTCAAGTGGCCACATGTTCCACTCAGCCAAACTCCTCGCTCCACTGCCAACTCATTCCTATCTTGCTACTTGCTCCATGACTGTTTATAAAAGTAGTTTTACAGATGGCTGACTTAAAATGGTGCCTGGGGTTTTCTGGTCGACCAGCTACAGAGCAGAGTGCCCCGACTGTATTTAATGAACTTGCACTCAATTCTGGCCCCAGACAAAAATCAGAAATGAATAAATGCATCAGGGGTCTAGGGACCACACAGAAGGATGCCCAGTCGGCCATGTTTACTTGGCAGTTTCTGAGAAGGACTCCGTGGAGGAGAGGAACAGGGACTCCATTCATCCTCTCCAAAAGGTATCCTGAGGGGGAGAGGCATGACACCAGGGAAGGCTTCCCAGGGCCTGGATTTGCCTGGCATATTAGGTAAACTCACTGCCATTGGCAAATTCACGCCAACTCTTTGCAGCAGTCACACTAATAACAAGACGCCGAGTAGGGGAACCAGTTGTGTGCGGCTGAGCTGTGCCCTTGTCAGCCTCAGCCTCAGTGGGAGATTTTTTTCCAAGTTTATCTCATGTGTCCCTAATCTCCGTTGTGTCCCCTAACCCCATCCCTCACTCATTCCCTAACCCTCTAAAGTCTACTTGCTATGTATGTGAAATATATGTGAAATTTTATGTGAAATTAAAGAGTATGGCAGCAAAACAGGACATAACATGAAACATACCATTTGAGCCTTTTTCATATACACAGTTCTATGGCCTTAAGTATTCCCCATCCCCCCTTCATGCCTCTACTTCCTATTTTTATAAATCAGACTACAGATGATACATATTTCTATTTTTTAAAAATATATTTAATATATATATTTACACATATGCTACAGATATTATGTTTTTTTTAACTTACTTATTACTATTTAGAAACTAGCCATGGCTGGGTATGGTGGCACATGCCTGCAATCCTAGTATCCAGGAGACTGAGGCAGAGGAATGGTGAAATTAAGCCTGGCATAGGGTACACTGTGAGACTGTCTCAGGGGAAGGAGGGAGAGAAAGGAGGAAGAAAAGGGAGAAATGGAAGGAAGGAAGAAAAGAAGATGGGCCTTGGGCTGGTTTCTAGTACTCCCAAGTGTATACATGGTCACCCTAGAGACAAGCAGGTTTCCACCATGATACTTCAAGTCCCTAAAACATCTTCAGAATGACCCAAGTCTCCACCCAAACCCACCAGCATTCCTGGGTGAGCCAAGCCTCATCTCTGTGAATCTTCAGGAATCTGGAGCAGTGCTCGGATTTTGACCTTGGCTGACATTATTAACTGGTGTTTGCTTTTAAACAAATTGAAGAATCCCAGGTTGTTATGGAGAAAATGGAAACAGACAGGACATGCCCAACTGTCCTGTCAGACCTAACCAGGCTACAGGAAAGACACTGACTCTTTAATTGCTGGTTTGCAAATAGATGCTAATTAATTAAGCTGGGCAGGCAGCGCCCACACTTGCCAACAATTTCAGCAGTAGAGGTGAGGCACGTCCCACTGACCGACTCCGCCATCAGGCCTCAGCTCGTTCTTCTGCCTACAGATGCCATCTGCCCCAAGCCATCCTGTCAGCGCATCTGAGCATGCCCACATCCCAGGCCCAGCAGCACCCACCCAGCCTAGAAGACAGCCGTCCTCCTCTGGACATCTTTAAGGACTGACTCACCAACCAGGCCCCCAAGCTACCACTTAACACACAGCCTGACCTCAAAACACCCAGAAAAGCAGGACACTCCAGCCTCATCTGCCAGCACCAGGTTCAGAGCCTCAACCTCTCTGGAAGGCTCAAGTCTTGGCCAGAAGTCACCCGGGCTTGCACCCTGGGCCCTACCTGCTGGCCTGGAGTCCTCACGGCACTAGAAGGGATGTGCCTTCAAATGTCTGCTTTGGGGCTGGGAAGGTGAAACAGTAGATAATGAATGAACTTACAGCTTCAGATCTCTGGAGTTTGCTGACTGGGCAATAAGTCAGTGAGCTCCAGGTTCAGTGAAGAGACCCTGTCTCAAAAACTAGAGGAGCTGGGGAGAGGGCTCAGTGATCAAAGCACTTGATACACAAGGCTGAGGGGTGGAGTTCCGATCCCCAGAGCCCACTTCAAATCTGGGCAGCGTGGGCAGCGTGGGCAGCGTGGCAGCTACCTATAATCTCAGCGCACAGGAAGCAGAGACAGAGTCCCTGGAGCAAGCTGGCTAGCTAGAACTTAGGATCGATAAACTCCAGAATCACCAAGAGACCCTCCCTAAATAAATAGTGATTGAGGAAACCACCCAGTGTCAACTTCCAGCATTCGTAGGCGTGAACACACACATATGCATGCTGATCCATGTACACATGTGCCCATATACTTGGGAAGCAGGTACTACCTACACATACACAGGTTAAAAGAGTAAAAAGACAGCATTATAGGAGGGCATCTGATGTCAGTCTCTGGCCTCCACACACATGAACACAGGTTAGTTCAATCTGCCATCATGAACACATACATAGGCATACATCACACACATATAACCCAAAAAGTCTCTCACTCTCTCTCTATAGATGAATATATATATATATATATGAACACATACATCCATATACACACATGTATACACACACACACACATACACACACATACACATGTGCATACACACACAAATATATTTTACACCTGTGGAGTGTCCAAAAGCCCATTATTGATGGGGAGAGTTAAGCCAACGATCACTGAAGCCCCGGTAGAGGGAGACCTGTCTCCCTGAAGAACTCATTCCTGCTCCAGCATCTGAGGACAACCGTGCTGTCACAGAACATGATCGCTTTACTTTCTTTGCAATGAGCAGTCCCGCCTCCTCCGTCTAAAGTTGAGCTATCAACAGGCTGTGCTTTCCAGGGGCTTCCGGACTCTGCTGCTCTGTAGGCTGCCTTCCTCAGCTCCTAAGGGCTGTGGGTGGGGGGGCAGGGGTCCGTGGGTGGGGGCACTATCTGAGTTTGATCCTTGGGGTCCCTGTGGCGGGAGGAGAGAACTGATTCTCTGACCTCCTCACATTCTGTGGCATGCCTGTGCCCCCCCCGACAGTGAATGAATGACTGTCTGGCTTCCATGATGAATGACGGACGCCTCTCTCACCTTTCTTCCCATGGTCCCCTTACTGAGGCCTGCACCTCCTCCCTCTTGTAAGGACCCTGCTGGTGACCTCACTGCACCTCACTTGACAACTAAGGGTGATGTCTCACTTCAGCCCCTTAACTGAGTCACACTTGGGAGCCTCTCTTGTCATGGTAATATATAAATAGGTGCTAGGGAACAGGATACGCTACTCTTTGGTGACAATTTCTCAACTTTACCAACATGACCCTTCTCTGTGGGGCCTCAACCCCTTATCTTAGTTGCTGGCCATTTTCAGTGCTCCCGAAGCTAGGCCCTGCCTCCCTCAGATAACAAGAACTTATGTAACATCTTTCTTTCGGCAGCCACCCACCTGATCTTAGCTCCCGCCTCACCTCTCCCTAGGACTCTAGCTAGCCTCAAACAGCTGGCAACTGCTTAGACATCTACGCGGCTCTTCCAATTCATTCACTGCGTAATTACTCCACAGTCTCGTCTATCCCCCTGGGCTTCTGTAGCCCCTAGGATACCCCTTCAATCAGAGATAGTCTACCCCCAAATCCAGGAGCCCTCCTCCACTGTCTCACCTGCTCCACCGGTTCCTGAGTCTGGCCTGAGAGCCTATGTCCCACAAGGAGAAAGCAATACACTCTACCCGGGGGCCTCCACACTTCCACTCCTAATTGGCCCCGCCTTCTCCACGAGCAGCCAGCACAGGTTGCTTAACAGGCAGGGCCTTTCGTCAATATTCTCTGCTAGGCTTAGCTGTTCGTTCCCTCCACGCTGCTGAAGCCGAACTGCTGATGTCATTGTATCAAAAGGCAGTGTTCTGCCTTCACGGATTGGACTATCATCGCGACGATCATAGATTGTATCCAGTGTTGACTCAGTTTCTCTAGCCCCCTTCTGCCAAGCGCTGCCTTCCCTCATGGTAAGAAAGCAAGGATCTCCTGGCCTGAGGCTGGCACCTCACCTTAGGATGTCCCTGCGTCTCAAACTCTGAGCCCGATAAGAATGTTTGGTATAAATCACCCAGAGATAACCCATTACAGCAACACGACCAGGCTAACACATAGCCGGGAGCCAGGAGCCGGGAGCAGCAGCTGCCAACACAAATACCTGAAGACATGAAGGCTTCGGGGCAGAGGAGTGGGTCCAGCTGGGACACTTCCCAGGAGAATGCTGGAGAAGCCGTCGCAGCTGGGAACAGACGGTGGAGGGTGATTCTGGTGTGGGGAAGACAAGGCCTCGGAGAGCGGAAGGGAAAGCGAGAGCCTTCGAAGACTTTGTGTGAGAATGCTGGCAGGAACTGGCACGGAAAAGACCGTGAGGATGTAGCCTCGGGTGGAGGTGAGGAATGAAGTCCTGGAGACTGCTGGAAGGGGGGGCCATGTCCTCAAGTGGGAAAGAACTTGGCTGCAGGGTGTCCTTGCCCCAAGGCTGAATGGGGAAGCAGAACTTAGGAACAACGAACAAGGGAGGCCGCAGGGTGGCAGAACCTAGGGCGGCATCACTGGGTCTGTGGTGTGACTTCTTGTGACTTCATCTTCTAACATGTTAGAGCAGAGAGACGACGTAAAGATGGGACGTATAAGGAAAGATGATGAGAGTCTTGGAAAACTCACAGCCCGGCTGTAAAAGAATGACATGCCATCTGCATACCAAGGGTGTGACCCAGTGGCTGGCCGCCTGCCGAAGAGATTAGAAATTAGGACAAGAAGGGAGCTAGGTATCACTCAAGAGGATGAGGTAGAAGACACCCCCAAACATAGCAGAGATCTTGGAAGCTGGCTAGGCCTAGAGGGCACATTTCTAGGATCTTTCTCTCTCTCTCTCTCTCTCTCTCTCTCTCTCTCTCTCTCTCTCTCCAGCCCCCCACATTTCAGGACAGCACACCCCCTGTGTGACCAGCTGTGGTCAGGCACAGGGAGGGCTGCTACCCCAGGGGCCAAAGCTGTGGCCTGGGTAGACTCCACGTGGGGTGGCCCCGAGGCATCAGAGTGTCAGAGCTTGAGGTGCTGTGCACAGTGTGGGGGCCCAGAGCAGCCAGGCCGGGTCCCCACTAGGGTGGTGCCCACGGCAGAGAAGGCCATGCGGATGGAGTATTGCTACGGTAATTGCTGGTATCGCTGCTGCCTAGGTTGAATCCCAGGGACGGCAGTCCCAACAGCCACCCGAGTGGCCTGGAGGCAGTACAGACGAGTCAAGATGATTCTGGAATCAGAGGCCCTAACTCGGTTTGTGGTTGCTGGACTCACAAACGATGACTTACTCTTTATTTCTGGCCGACTTCCCACTCTGGGGATGGAAATGTCGATCTCAGGCTTGCCTGCCATGGCACTTGGGTGACAGGCCCTCAGCGCTGGCAGGGTCTATCAAGACACTGGCCTGGGTCTTGTGTCTGCTTGGCCCACCTGTCCCAGCCCAGCCCTGGCCTCTGGACGTTTGGGTTGGGCTGTAATACGGTGAGACGCAGGGAACTACGGGGATAGATCAAATGCATCCTATTTGTGAGAAGAACAGGAGACAGGGGTGGGGCATAGCTAGAAAGCGAAGGTTTGAGTGTCCCCTCTAAAGCAAGTTGTAACTTAACTGCCAATGTGACGGTGTTTCAGAAGTCACTAGGTCTAGGGACTCCCCTGTCATGAAAGGATTAAAGCAGCCGTCACAGGCAGGAGTTTTCTCTAGTCCACTCTGCCCTCCTACCATGTTATGACACAGCAGGAAGACACGTGGGCCCTCATCAGAGGCCAGAACCTTGATGACGGCCTAACCAGCCACCTGCGGAAGGAGAAGCCAATAAATGTCTGGTCCTAATAAACCACCCAGCCTAGGACAGTGTCTGGGCAGTGTGAAGCCTCTTCGAGCCCTCTACTGCCTTGCTTGCTCAGTCTTTGACCACCTCCCATCTGGGGCTCCGGCCACAGTGGCTGGCCTGTCCCTCAAACAGGACACACACTTCTACCTCGGTGTCTTTGGACCTCTGTCCTTCTGCCTCTTTCCACGAATTGGGAGATGCCACCTAAGAGAAGCCTCCCCCACCATCGTATGGCTTTATCTTACTAGTGCAGGACATGACCTGACAGGTGGGTCCACTGGCTGACCCGGGCCGTCTCCCTCCACCCAAATGCCAACTCATCTGTCACTGCTGGATCTCCACTTCCTGGAATGTTGGGATGTATTCTAAAACCATATCCCAAGTGCTACAAGCTGCACTGCTGAAGCCCTAGCTCCAGGCCTCAGAATGCAGCTTTACTTTAGAACATGGTCATCACTTAACATTGAGTTAAGTTGAGGTCACAGTGGAGCAGGGTGGGTCACCAGTCCTATGACTGATTTCCTTATAATAAAAGGAGCACAAACACACGCACGGGAGAGAACCCTCGGCAGATGAGTTCCAATGTCACAAGTCAAGCTACTCCTGGAAGCTTGGGGAAGCCAGGGATAGAACCTCCCCAAACACCTTCATGGGGAGTGTGCCCTTTCTGCACCTTCAGCCTCCAGGCTCACCAGAAAACAAGTCCCTATAGCTCTATCTCCCTGGAGAACTTGGCTGCAGCAGCCCTGGTGAGCATGCTGAATGAGCAAGCCTGCCTCTCACTCCAGCTGGCCACCCACGACCCAGCATCAGAGAGAGCCAGAAACCATTTCATAGTCATCAAAAATGGTACAGTTCCCTCATGTGCAGACAACCAAAACTCCACAGCCCAGCATGCACAGCTCTGCATGGAACACTCCTCACCTGGTCAATTTCCCAGACTCCTGCAGCCTCCCTGCATCTAAATCGGATGCGCACTCGTCCCAGAATGCCTACTTTTGACCACATCCCAAGGCTGTAAGCCAGTCACCCTGTTATCTGGAATGTACTTTTTCCCCAATCCTTCCTGAACACTCACCCTGTTATCTGGAATGTGCTCTTTCCCAATCCTTCCTGAACACTCCTAGACAGCCTCCAGCACCTGGCTTTCCCCACCAGTAGAATGTGCCATGCTCCCAAGGTCTCTGTGGACTTTTAGGCCAGGTCAGCAAGTCATTGGCTGTGACCTGGCCCACAGGCACGAATGCCAGGAGAAGGCAGGTATCCTCTGTTTCTCACCACTGCCTCAACGTAGGCTGAGGATGCCAGTGTGACTTATTTAATGCATGACAGAAGAAAGCGAGCAGGAACTTGTGGTTCCTTCCAATGCTTATGCTCGACACTCACTGTTCCCACCCCAAGAACAGAAGCACTCGTAGTGAAGGTGAGCCCCTTGATATTTGCAGCCCTGACTATTGAGGACTTCATGTCATCTGCCCGGGACCTACCTTCAATCTCAGCCCAAGGCAGTCTCTTCTCTCCACCATGCATACCAGGCAGCCTCAACCAACATTTAACAACATTAAAATAAATCAGTCATGGACCCCAGTATGTAGCAAGGTGTCTGACACACAACAGATGTATACTAACAAATGCCATATAAACAGTCAGTAGTTCTGCTCCCCCTCCACCCATGATTCCCAGACAAATGTCCTATTTGTGGGTCTTAACTATTACCTCTTTCTCCAAAGCACCTAAACTCTCCAGAGGGGAGTTTCTTTGGGTCCCAGATGCTGGTGTCCTGGGTTAAGGGCAGATCCAGTTACACAGAAAGGGATAGAAGCTGAGGTCCCAGAACCTACTGCCCTTGTAATGTACTGTCCGCTACCACCAGTGGTGGCCAGAAGTCATGTGGCCCCCAGCTTCTGCGTGGCTAAAACTGCCATTTCCATAGCTCTGTTCCCTGGCAGATGGTGCAGAAACACCCAGGTCACTTTCCAGGAGCAGCAGAGCCGGTGAATGCTTGGGTACCAAGAACAAGCAGAAAACTTCTAGTCCCTCCCCTCATTTCGGGCACACCTGAGCAGAAGGGTGGCTTTTAAGATGCCCTGGCTGCCCATCGACACTCAAGACCCTTCCTGCAACATCCCAAAGTAGTGACCCAAATGTGGGATGATGGGCAAGCACAAAGAACACACACACACACACACACACACACACACACACACACACACACACAC